TATATCATAAAGAAATATAGAAATTACAGAGAAAAAAATCTGCAAGTAATATGGGTAGGAAATAATAGAGAGAGGTGAAGCTATATTATAAGCAAATGCATTGGCTCTTTAATGTGTTTTTGAAAAAAGGAATGGAACAGTAGCATATTTCTTTAAAGACAATTCAGCTGATAGGCAACATAATAAGATTGCTTGTTTCAATTGCCAATCTAGAATTAAAACAGTTATATTGTGGGAAACTAGAATATTTAAAACTTATTCATAGTTTGCTTCTATGTAATAAATCAGATTCTTTCTCATCAGGCGGAAATGTGTGGAAAGCCCATTATGTGAGCCCCATTTTCCAACCTAAAATATCTGGAGCCTGTTATGCCAGCAAGTACTGTCCATGTTCTGGAGAAGGGGTCACCCATCATGATCCTCCTCTACTGTTTCATCTCTCAAGAGACCCTTCAGAAGCCAAGCCTCTGTCAGCAGACAGTGAACCACAATTTTACACAATTCTTGAGACAATAAACAAAGCTGTAGAAGAGCATCGCAAAACTCTCACGCCTGTTCCACCACAGCTGTCTTTCTACAACATCATCTGGAAACCATGGCTCCAGCCATGCTGTGGTTCGTTTCCATTTTGTTATTGTGACAAAAATAAGAACAATATGTAATATGGTCATCATTTTTGAAGTTGTTTGTCTTTCACGTTTTATCAAGTCTAGAAAAAGAAACCCTCTAAACAATGTAGCATTCGCTGGATGAAATAAAAAGGAGAGTTTAAAATGTGTTGTGTTGCAAAGAAAGATTCCACCTCAGATTAGATCGGTGTGAGTGTTTGTGTTTCCAGGATTAATGACATAAATAAGAAAAGTAGATTGTCAGTAGTCTAATGGAGATGAAGAACCTTTCTAAAGGGGAAAATGGATAGAGAGCTCTTGATAGAACTTGGTAAGTTTGCTTTATTTCTTCAAGGGGAATGGGCATAGGTAGGATTTAGCCAAGCACTCAAGTTACTATTTTAGTACTATTTCTATCAATCTTTTTCTCTGCCTAGGCAGCCATGATGTTCAGTTGACTATAATCATCTACCAGGTGAGCAAGTACATCACTTCCTGATCTTCCAGTTAGGTCCTGATCTTCCTGTCAGGATGCCTGCCTCTGCTTAGTGAACTCTACTACCTGCCAAAGCCTGCTTCTCCTTATCACAGTCTTTCAACTTCCTGAAATAGCAGTACTATTTCAACTTTTGCCAGCCTGCCTGATCCTTGTTTATATACTCAGATTCATTTGGGCTAGGGACAAATAAGGCACCAAATAAATAAATCCATGGATTACCTCCTAATATTTTTAAGGCGGGATACCTCATATAGAACAAATATATGATAAGCGCTGTTTTATTTTATTTAGATAAAAAGCCTATAACTATCCTTTTTAGCTCAAATCACACATTGCATTTCATAGTGTGTTCATCTTCACGAAGTCTTTTTTAAACATGAAATGAAGAAGACCATAAGGCTGAATTTTGGAACATATTTTTCTTCTTTTTATTTAAATTTCATTAAAATTCTACATATAAAATAAACATAAAAATGCAATACATAAATACATATAGAAACAAACCTGCAAATTCCAAACTCAATATCTAACTTAAAAAAATATAGTATACTTCTACCTTTCTCTTTCCTCACAGATCATTAATCATTATTTATTAATTTTATACCATTGTAAACACTATTTAAATTTTCCATTATCTCCCCTTATTTAATCTATAAAACCCTGTATCAACACATTATTTTCTCTACTTTAATCCAAAAACAAACCCTACTCTTTGAGAAAAGCCTCTGTAAATTTCTTTCTCATTAGTCATCTTTGTTTTTCCATATCTGCCAAGACCATAACTTTAAATGGCTAATCTTCAACATTTCCAGTTTATTTTTCCGTTTATGTGCATATAATAATCTTGCCATAGGGTTTATGTACAACAATAAAAGTCCTTTTTACTCAGTTCTTCTTCCAAAAATTATTAAAAGTACAATTCTGGTTTCATCTGAAAGGGGATTGCTGTTGTTTTCACCAATGTCTTGTGTATTACCAATCAAAATTTGGGTGGGCACTTCACAAGTTTACCACATATGGTAATAATCCTCTTTTCCACAATTCTAATATTTGCTTGAAATGCTTTTCTATATTTTTCACAGTTTCACAGGTATAATTTTATTAAATATTTTCTCTCAATTTAATGCACAGAATAAATTTAATATTTTAGTCTATATTTTTTCCCAAATATCCATGCCAATACTGCATTTAGCATTCATTTAATATATTCTTTAACTTGTTCAGCTTCTGTATCCTGGTTTAATCACAGTATCTATATTCCTGCTATTACATGTTTGTCACCTTTGCATAATTCTATTTCAGATTGATTCTTACTCCCTCCTATATCTCTTCATTGCACATCTTTTTCAATTTGTGCATAGGGAAACCAAGCCAAATATAAATCTTCTATACTTAACTACACTCAAGTCTTACATATAAGTTTGCCCCCTATACAGATAGTCCTCGATTTATGACCACAATTGAGTTCCACAGTTCTGTTGCTAAGTGAGACAGTCAGGGCCGGATTTAGATTGAAAGAGGCCCTAGGCTATTCCACTTATGAGGCCCTTTCACCAGTGGTGGGATTCAATTTTTTAACAACAGGTTCTGTGGGCGTGGCTTAGTTGGAGGTGTGGCTTGGCAATCATGTGACTGGGTGGGCATGGCTAGCTGGTCACATGACTGTGTAGGCGTGGGTAGCTCGTCATGTGACCGGGTGGGCATGGCTATGTGCATAGACTTTTTTCAGAGGGCTGAAAAAAGTCATTTCTGACTGGGCCTCGCACTTTTGACCGGTCCTCACACTTATGACCATCCTCACATTTATGCCCGTGCAGCTTTCTTAACAACCATGTCACTCATTTCACAACTGCTTTTCTTCACCATGGTGACAAGATAGGGCAAAAACGTAAAATGTGAGGATAGTCGTAAGTTCGAGGACTGGTCAAAAGTGCGAGGACCAGTCAAAAATAACTTTTTCAGCCCTCTGAGTAGTCCATATGCACAAAAGGACTACCCAGAGGGCTGAAAAAAGTCATTTCTGACTGGGCCTCGCACTTTTGACCGGTCCTCACACTTATGACCATCTTCACATTTATGCCCGTGCAGCTTTCTTAACAACCATGTCACTCATTTCACAACTGCTTCTCTTCACCATGGTGACAAGATAGGGCAAAAATGTAAAATGTGAGGACAGTCGTAAGTTCGAGGACTGATCAAAAGTGCGAGGACCAGTCAGAAATAACTTTTTCAGCCCTCTGAGTAGTCCATATGCATAAAAGGATACAGCAATAGAGAGGGATGAAGGAAGGGAAGGGAAATTAGAGTAGGAGGGAGGGTAAGAGAGGGAGGAAGAGAGGAGGAGAAGGAGAAAGGAAGAGGAAGTAGGGAGGAGGAGAAGAGGGGGAGGAAGAGAAAGTAAGAAGGAAAGAAAAGAGAGGTGGTAGGTTTGAGGAGAAAGATTGCTGTACAATAAAAAAGATGAAAGGGAAGAAAGCCAACCCCAAACAAATATAAAGATATTAAGATAAAGAATGAATTGTTAAACTTTAAAGAATAAAAGAGAACAAATATGAATAAATAACAATAATTAGAAACACACATACAAACATACAATGTATTTTCTTTGAACAGAATATTTGGCCGGTTCACAAATTTAAACAATGTTTAGTCATTTCAATTAAATTTACAATTTCTATATTTCCTTTTTGCCATATTTATTCCTCATCTATTTTTGTAAAAAACCAATATTACCCTCATCCTCATCTCTAATCTTAATCAAATTCAATTTTTCCCTTCTATTCTATATTATACCCCTTCCCATTGTCATCTATTTTTATATCCATCCTCACATTGGTTAATTATGTAATATTACAGTTGTTTAATATGAATTCAACATTTTAATATAAATCAATTAGTTATATAACTACCTTTTTTGTATATTAATCAATATGAACATGAATATTCCAATTATTTCCATGCAATCCAATTTCTTACAAATCCATTAATTATATTTACCAATAATAATAAACCAAATAATTTCCCCCATATATTCCTCCAAACCACAACTTAACCATTTCTGCTTTCAACACAATATACAATTAATAGTATCTCAATTATTACAATTCCCTAGTTAAATAGAGCTTTTTTTCTTTTGTGTTTTAAAATCTCCTCTTTTTCCCTAAATTTCCTGTTGTTTGCACCTACCTTTTTTGGTGAGGAAAAAGAAATCTGCCTGCCTAATTTTCCAACGTGCAAAGCCAACAGCCTGCTTTACTTTCTCTTTCGTTTTTCAGTATAGCTAGAGGGGGAAAAATCAGCACTCTTTGCAAGCAAGGAGCAGATCCGTGAGCAAAACAGCTGAGAGCAAATCAGCTGGGGGTCGGGAGCCAATCTAAGCAAGGGCTAATTAGCCTATGCTGAAGCTCCGGGGGCCAATAAAATTACAAAAAAAACACTGAACCCTTTGTTAAATTGCTGGCTCCCCCGCCCCTCGCCCACCACTATTTATTGGCAATAAATAGTGGTGCGGAGGGGCGGGGCAAGCCAGCAATTTAACAAAGGGTTCGGCTGCAGCACTGGCTCTAGGGCGGCCCTTTGAAGCCCCGCGGCAAGAATTTGAAGTTTTTTTTCCCTCTAGCCATCTGAGGCAGCAATAGATTGGGAGTGGGCGGGGTAAGCGAACAGCCGATGATCCAACAGAGCAGAGAGTGAGGGTGAGTGAAGGCTGGAAGCTGCTTTCTCCATCCAGAGCCGGTGGGGAACCACGTGGCAGCCCACGTGGATCCCAGGCAACGGAACTCAGGCTAGGGAAGGGGTGGGCAATTGTGGCTCTTTTACAACCTGTGGCCTTCAACTCCCAGAATTCCTCAGACAGCCAAGCTGTCTCAGGAATTCTGGAAGTTGAAGTCCACAGGTTGTAAAAGAGCCACAATTGCCCACCCCTGGCTACGGTAGGCTGGCGCCGCGCAGGTGGGAGGCGAGGGGCGGGCGAGCCAGCAATTTAACAAAGGGCTCGGCCGAACCCCCTAGAACCCCCAGAATCCCACCACTGTGTAGGCCCCTCTTGATCTTGAGGCCCTAGGCTGAAGCCTAGTTAGCCTATAGGAAAATCCGGCCCTGGAGACAGTTGTCAGATGGGTTTTGCCCCATTTTAGACCTTTCTTGACACAGTTGTTAAGTGTATCACTGCAGTTGTTAAAGTTAATAACATGGTTGTTAAGTGAATCTGCCTACTCCATTAACTTTGCTTGTCGGAAGGTCACAAAAGGTGATCACATGTTCCCGGGACACTGCAATCGTCATAAATATGAAACATTTGCCCAGCATCTGAGTTTTGATCATGTGACTATGGGGATGGTACAACAGTTGCAAGTGTAAAAAAACTATCATAACTCACTTTTTTCAGTACTGTTGTAACTTTGAATGGTCAATGAATGGTTGTAAGTCAAGGAGCATGTATACATGAGCAAATCCCCATAATTTAACTATTGGGGAGGGGGCTGCTGTTCCTCCCCTATGAAAAGCTGCTTGAGATAAAGAGTATAATGACATCTCTGAGACAACTTCTTTTTATATTTATTCTAAGTTTAACAGGACATTAGAAAACATTTTTGTAATTGTGGGATAATTGGAAGCTTAGGTTTTAATCTGAATTGAAGTACAAAATGTGAGGCTTATAATCATTTTTTCCCCTTTCTGACAAACATTAACAGAATTGTGTTAATGTTAACAATTGTGACACTTTTTTCCATTTATGATCCTTCAGAAAGTCTACAGTAATCATGCTCCTCCTCCCTGATTCGGCAACAGTCCTCTTGGCCTCCTGGCGAGACAGCCTTTTCTACCCAAAATAAATAACCTCAAAAAAGAAAGTGAGGATAAATGGTTTGAAAAGACAGGTGTTTCCCAGATTACTTTCTTCCTTCAGGAAATGTGTGATATCTTTGCCCAGATATTCTTCTCTCCTTAGCCAAAAGACTCTTGCCAAACTAAGCAAATGTAGAAAAATACTGTTCTCTTCTTCCAAATAAAAGAAACAAGAAAGTATCTGATATCTAGTGCCAGGCCTCCCCTTCCTCTTCTTTCTGGTTACAGAGAGCTTGCAAAGAAGTTACTTGAGAGCCACAGAACAATTTGACTGGTTCTTAATGAACCAGGACTCTGAAAAGAGGACATGACCATTCACCCAATAGTCAACTTTTAGAAATAGAACAGATTTATACCATTTACCCATTAATGCCCAAACCCTATTTTCTCTGAATTTAGCCTTTCTTCAAAAATACATTAACTTTAAAAAGGAGTGCAAACTCTTCCTTCTATATAAAACAGGCATAAACTTCATATGAACGTGTTACAGAATTATTTCAGGTAATATTTAATCAAGTTTTTAAAATGGTGCCACTCTGTGTTGGCTTGTCATTAGAAATGCAAAGTTTGGAGATAATGGCAGGTGAGCCTTTCTTTGGTAAATGTTTAATGGGTTTTTCATAGGCAAACTATTTATTTGAACAAAAGTCTCATAAAGTTATTTTTAAAAAAGCTTATTTGCTATGTATATAGGATTGTATCCACATCAGATTGTATTCAGATCTGAGGCCTAGTGGACAATCACTTAAACATGAGTTCAAAGTGTATGGCAGCAGCCAAAAAAAGCCAATGCAATCCTAGGCTGCATTAATAGGATAGAATCAAGATCACATGAAATATTAGTACCACTTTACAAAGTACTTTACAAAGTACAAGGTACAAAGTAAGATCACACTTGGAATACTGTGTGGAGTTTGGTCACCACAAGATGTTGAGACACGGGAGAGAGTGCAGAGAACAGAAACAAGGATGATTAGGGGGCTAGAGGCTAAAAAACCATGAAGAACAGTTGCAGGAATTGGTATGTCTAGTCTAGTGAAAAGTAGGACTAGGCCAGGGAAACATGAGAGCAGCATTCCAATATTTGAGGGCTACCACAAAGATGAGGGGATCAACCTATTTTCCGAAGCACCAGAAGGCAAGACAAAAAACAATGGATGAAAACTAATCAAGGAAAAACAACCTAGAACTAAGGAGAAATTTCCTGACAGTGAGAACAATTAAACAGTGGGACGTCGCCTCCAGAAGTTGTGGGTGCCCCATCACTAAAGATCTTTAAGAGAGTGGACAGCCACTTTTCTGAAATGGTGTAGGGCCGTGATTGCTATTGCTTAGCACATTGTAAGCCGCCCTGAGTCTCCGGAGAAGGGCGGCATATAAATCAAATTTTTAAAAAAATGGCGAACCTATGGTATGCGTGCCACAGATGGCACACACAGCCATATCAGTGGGCATGCCAGTTCAGCTCTGGCACGCATGCACGCACCGGCCAGCTGATTTTCGGGCCTTCTGGGCCCACCAGAAGTAGGGAAACAGGCTGTTTCCTGCCTCCAGAGGGCCTGGGGGGATGGGGAAGGCCTGTTTTTCTTTCTTACCTGGCTACATTCGGTGTATAAGATGCACCCAAATTTTCACCCCCTTTTAGGGGGGAAAAAGGTGCGTCTTATACTCCAAAAAATACGGTATATAGAAAATGTTTGTTCCAATGAAAAACTCAGAATGAACAAACAAGTATTAAACAAATAAGATTAACCAGAGGATTTGTGTATCTGTGTGTACGTGTGTGCACACACATATTCCAGTTGGTACTGACTCCTGGTAGTTGCCTGGGCAAGTTCCTGTAATTTTCTTTGCAAGATTTTAGAAGCGATTTGCCATTTCCTGCTTCCCAGGGCTGAGAGAGAGAGGAACAGTCCCAAAGTCACCTACCTGGCTTTATACATAAAGTAGGACTATAATTCATGATCTTATTATTTTTCACCTTATGTTTTAACCACTAGACCAAACTGGCACTCAGTCATCAAACTCTAGTTAAGAATAAACCAAAAATGTTTTGGCAGACTCAGTTAACTGTGCACATCAGCCAGTGACCCTGTTTTCCCTGCCAACAATCTCAATCAGAAAAACCAAAGGTAAATATTTGACTTTTAAACTTCCTGCCAATGAGTGAAGTATGCTGTTCCCAGAGATTTGTGTCTATTTTACTAGTAGTATTGTCATTAAATCACAGCCTATAAAATAATCCAAGGTGGGGAAAGTTATTTTAAAGTAGGACAGAAGGAAGTCCTGAAATCTCTTCCAGCTCTGCCTTTACTTGCACCAAATGATGCTGCTTAACAGGTTTTGTGGAGGAAATGCCTGGTAAGAGAAGCCATAAGCAAATTTGCTTCTGATACTCATTTTGAAGATGAACTTCTTTTTTACCACAGGACATACTGTTTACTGCTAGATTCTTTAGTTCAGGGTCAGCAACTTGCGGCTCTGGAGCCACATGTGGATCTTTCAGCCATCTGCTGTGGCTCCCTGTCACTCAAAATGTGTGTCACAATCACCAATGTGTGACGCCTGCCGGCATGCGATTTTTTAAGCTTTTCGACCCCGGTATGCCAACCATGGATAAATCCAAGAAAAGAAAAGTTTTAGAAGAAAACAGAACATTTAATTCAATTACATATGCTAGTTTTGTGCCACTCAAGAAATAGTCAAGCATGGGAAGTGTTTTGTGGCTCCCGGTGTTTTCTTTTCTGTGGGAAACGGGTCCAAATGGCTCTTTGTCTGTTTAAGGTTGCAGACCCCTGCTTTAGTTGTTATTTCTAGCTGTTTTTGTAATTATGTCTATGAGTATTTTTTTCATATAATGGTGCTATGAGTGTCCTTGTAAATAATGATACATAAGAACTGCAGGTTGGGCTGACAATTAACTTTCTAAGGCTTTTATATTCACTCACCTAGCCATAAATCCAGCTCAAAAGATTTTACATCTTCATAAACCAGGGATAGGATTATCCAGGGATGGAATTTACTTATCTGAGAAAAGTGGGCAGTTTTTCAGCAATCTGGGGATGGGACCTAACTAAGACTGAAAAGCTGAATCCTTATATTGATTTTATACAGAAGATGATAAGTTTAGCATATTGTGAGAATGATTAGTTTGATTCAATAGACAATGATATCTCAGTGCAAAGGTCTTTGCCTGCCACAAACCAAATTCTGGTGCAATTTATTTAATTGCATAGCAACATTGTTATACAAATGACTGAGTAAGGAAATTTTGTGGTCCTAAAACTGCTGCCAATTATCTAAAAATAAAGTCTGATGCCAATTTTCTTTGGGTTAGTCAGGCAGGAACGCAGCAATTCTGTAAGAAAAAATAAATTTGTTATAATGAGGGTTTTTTATTGTATTAGATATGAAGTATAAGACATTTTGTTTGGGAAATATTTTAAGTTTGTAATAGTAGGAAGGGAAGGAAGGAAGATGGGGTATTCATAGGGACTTCCCATTCTCTCCCAGAAATCTGTTGCTGCTACTTTCTTCTTCTCCATATTTTTTTCTTTTTCATTCTCATGTCATTCTTTTTTCCCCTTTTCTCTCATTTTCTCTTTTTTCAATTCTTCTATGGTCCATGATTAAAGTTTTTTTTTATTGAAAAAGTTTTACAAATACAAATTTTCCCATTCCCCCTCCCTTTCCCTCCCTAACCGTCCCCTCCTCCCATGACTTCCCCAAGGTAAAATCCAAATCCAAATCATATTATATCATAATTTACCGCCCTTCTATTCCTCCCCCCCCGTGTACCATACATTTCTACATGACATTAAACTATTCTACCCCCTATATACTATACATTTCTATACAACATTCAACTAAAAGCTATCTGGTACTTCCTAGTTTGATATTTATTCTGCACATAATCTATCCATTTCTTCCACTCCCATGCATAAGTCTCTTGAGTCCAGTCTTTTAAGTATGCTGATATCTTCGCCATTTCTGCAAAACTGGCCACCTTCAAAGTCCATTCTTCAATAGTAGGCAAAACATCCCTTTTCCAATATTGACCAATCAGTAACCTAGCTGCTGTCACCATATACAATATCAATTTTGTTTCACCCATTGAAAAACCCTTAACTATGCCCAATAAAAACAATTGAGGAGAAAATTGGAGTTTTTTCTTCAGAACATTTTGCATAACCCACCAAATTTTTATCCAGAAAGCCTTCACTTTCTTGCAAGTCCACCATATATGATAATATGTAGCATCCAAACAATCACATCTCCAACATTTTGGTTGAACATTAGGATACATGCATGACAATTTCTTAGGATCTAAATGCCACCTATAAAACATTTTATAAAAATTTTCCCTCAAATTCTGTGACTGCGTAAATTTAACATTCTGAACCCATATTTTTTCCCATGTTTCCATCATAACTGGTTCTGCAAAATTTTGTGCCCATTTTATCATACAATCTTTAACCAATTCGTTTTCTGAGTCTCTTTCTAACAAAACATAAACTCTCTTGATATGCATTGGGCCTCTATCTTTTATCTAACCAATTCTTCTTCATGCAACATTAAACCAGTTTTTTGATCTTCTCTCCATCTCAGTTGAAGTTGATTATACTGTAACCAAGTTAGATTAATCCTTCTTCCAACAGTGTGTTTAATGTCTTTAATTGCCATCTGCCCCATCATTAAAAAGTACTTCTTTGTATAAAAACCCCTCGAGTGACTTTATATTTATATTCCGTATGATATGACCAAGATCCAACCACAACGGTATTTTATAATCCCATTTGAACCAGTGCTTCCATGATTAAAGTTTTAATACTACATTTAATGCTATTATTTTTATTCAATTTAGACATTTCATTTTAAACACGCAGCTTGGCTTCTTAAATAAGAACAATCTCTTTTTGTAATGTTGATATTACTTTTCTAATTTAATTCTAAAATAATTAGAATCAAATGTACAATTATATCAGGGGTGGGTTCTAAATTTTTTACTACTGGTTCTGTGGGCGTGGCTTATTTTGTGGGCGTGGCTTGATGGTCATGTGACAAGTCTTTAGGATTTAGTAGAGGTATTGGTCTATCAGGCTTTTAACTGCTTGCAGAGCTGTACCAGTCTACTCATTTGTTTTTGCAGGCACTGGTCTACCCATTTATTTTTGCAGGCACCGGTCTACTCATTTGTTTTTGGAGGCACCGGTCTACCACCACACTGCCTTTTAACACTGATCAGCTGCAGGGCGGCCCTTTGAAGCCCTGCGGCAAGAGTTTAAACAGTTTTTTTCCTTCTAGCTGATCAGCTGGGACTCAGGAAGCAGCAATAGATTGGGGGTGGGGCCAAATAAAAGGTAAGAATAATGCGGGGGGCAGGTGGGCGGGGGGAGAACCGGTTCGGTGACGTCATATTGTCACCGCTACCGGCTCGGCGGAACCGGGCGGAACCGGGAGGAACCCACCATTGAATTATATATCTATATTCAATCATTACAATAATGTCACTGTATTTTGGGATGTCAGGAATCTGAGACCTATACCTAAGAAATTAAAACAGAAAAAGAAGAGAAGAAATTCAGCTTCTTCCCAAATAAAACATTTATTTATATTTAAAAGAAACTAGGTGGATCAGATTTATATCAGTAGAAACTATATTAATAAGAAATCAACTGGATATTGATTATTGATGTGTACTTATTTAATAGTTTTGATAATGTTTTATAGTCAAGTGGATGTAAATCAGACATTTTGCATAAATGTTTTGCAAATCCTACAGATGGTCCATAAAATTTGGGTAGTGTGTTTAATACAGTTTTGTAGCCACCAATAGACTGAAGTAAAGCTTCCAAGAAAAATTGACTACAGAATTGTAGTAATATCTGGTATTCATAAATTTAATTTGATTAATCTATGGAGACAACTAAATATAATCAAATGTATTACAAAAAAGATCTTCATAGCACATATTCTTATCAGAATTTTTAAAAATGTATCTATACTGCAATACAATTGACTGAAAATTGATCAATAGTATCTTATTAGAATATCTGACCTTGCTATGATATCACTATTATTTATTTATATTTATATGTCCTCAAACTCTCAACAAATAAAAATTCACAAATAAAAAAACATTAAAACCAAAGAAAAAGAAAAATGAATAAAAATAAAGAATAGAAGATGGAAAGGATGACCAAAAAAAAAAGAATGAAAAGAAAACTGCACAATTCAAGGAGCTGAGGCAGCCTTGCCAAAGGCTTGTTAGTGAGCCAGACCTTTTGAAACACCAGCAGGCTGGGGTCCATCCAAATCTCAGGGGAAACATTCCAGATAGTGCTATAGAGGAAGTAATTTTCTGATGGCCTGATAGATGGCATTGTTTAATCAAAAGAACCCAAAGTGCACCAACCCTGACAGTTCAAATTGGCCAGGTAGATACTATGGGAGACAGGCAGCTTCTTCAAATAACTAGGCCTTATGCCATATAGGACTTTGTAGGTGGAAATGGATGAAAGTAATGAATTTGGCCAAGACGGCAAAACTGATTGTTTTAAATCGAGAGAAGGATTTATCTAGTTTTGCTTCCACTTGGAAACACTTCTGGACTTTTTTTTTTTTAAGAGAGAAAGTGGTCAGTCTGCAAAAGAATCCCAGAGAGAATCTAGACCTGTTTCAGTCAGATTTCAGTCTGGGATTTAGCACTAAGACAGTAAATCTACAAGCACTTTGGTTGCAATTCTCAAAAAAATGAAATTTTGATTTTAGGTTCTGAAGATTAGTGTGACTTTGTTTTTACAGAAATGGCTTGAAATACTCAAGAAATGTAAAGCAAAAGGTAGGGCTGTAACTTACAAACTACACTGAAAAACGTTAGAAGTCACTACTTTTTTTTCTTTCCCCTTTCTTTTTCTCTGCCCCTCTCTTCTTTTCTCTATATTTTTTCTATTTTTCATTAAAAATATTTGTATTTTATCTTATAATAATCTTTAATGAAATATTACATAAAAAATGGAAGCAGGTATGATAAACCAGAATGGAATTTAAGATCACAGTGGAATTTAAGATAGCATTTAATAACTGTCACGAATGAAGGCGAATATACGTGTCCCAGGATAATGCTGCAGGATCCAATCCAACCAGAGGTTTTGCCTTCTGAGCTTTCGGTCTTATGCTGGAGTCCATCTTCAGGGAACTTCTCTCTAGCAGAGTGTGTGCTGTTCTCTGTGTGGTATTTATAATGCCTGTTGTAAGTGGCTTTTTAGATGTGGATTGGGGTGTGTTGATGGCTGACTTTTAAGACATTAGCTGTCATTTGCTTGTGCTGCCCAGCCCTTGCCTTCTAAGTATTTGATAGGCTGGTGGTAAATCAGCACTCCTGTTGATTGATGGTGAGCTTGTTTCCCAGGCTTCAATCACTTCCCTGGCTGTGACTCTTATCTTCTTCAACATACAGTTCACAATGGAAGAACAAACAGCTAGATAATTACCATTTTCAGATGTACTTGTCAATAGACAAGAGGATGGAAGTCTAGAAATCACAGTTTATCCCAAGGCCATCAAAACTCTACGCATTCTGAATTTCAAAAGCAACCATTCATTGTCACACGAAAAGACTTGCATCAGAATACTGTATTGCAGAGAGAGAACCCACTGTAGTACCCAGCAAGCCAAACAGCTGGACAGCAGGAACAATTCAAGCAGACCACAATCATTTGTAACAAGATGCTGTGCAACATGGAGGAGAACAAAAGGAAGAAATAAGGTACAAGACCAACCACACAACCTTGCCATACATCAAAAACATTTCGGAAGCTGTAGAACACAGCTTCCAAGATCTGCAAGTGGTCATCGCACACCACCCAGAGCTACCATACGAGAACAAATTATGCATTGCAAAGATAGCTTGGAGGTGGGAGATACTTCCAATATAACCTACCAAATCCACTGCGACTGTCCCTGTGACTATGTAAGGACAGATTACTGGTTAGAAAGCTAACCAGCAGACTGCAAGAACACAGGCAAGTGGAAATCCAAACTCATTGGTAGCCTCACACTACAATGAACAAGGACACACATTAATTTTGCAGCTACTAAGATTGTTGAACGAGCAGACACAAAAACAGCCAGGGAAGTGATTAAAGCCTAGGAAACATGCCTTCATCAGTCAACAGGAGTGCTGATTTACCACCAGCCTATCAAGTACTTAGAAGGCAAAGGCTGGGCAGCACAAGCAAATGACAGCTAATGACTTAAAAGCCAGCCATCAACACATCCCAATCAGCATCTAAAAAGGCACTTACAATAGGCACTATAAATACCGCACACAGACAGCACACACTCTGCTAGAGAGAAGTTCCCTGAAGATGGTCCATTTTCCAATTAAGAAAGGAGGCAACCAAAGGTTGAAGAAGCTACAACATTTCAATAAAACTTTGACATCAGAAGAATTTTCATTCTGTATCTGATTGTACTAAAGAAATCCTCTATCTGTGACAATTGTGTGACATTTTCTTTTTGAAAATTCTAATCTACTGGTAATATTGCTCTTATTTTTACAGTTGTTCTCCAATTGTTTTGCTTGTTTCCATCTTATTTTCCCAAACCTGGGTAACCAGCATGTCGAAACCTAACATTTTGATCCTAATGGCAGATGATCTTGGAACCGGTGATTTGGGTTGCTTTGGAAATGAAACTATCAGGTAAACATTTCAAAAAAAGTACCTTTTAAAAACTAGGTTGAAAAGAGTTTTTTAAACACTGTTCAAGAATAATGCACTAATTTCTAATGGGGGATAATAAGAAAGCTAAATTAAGTGACAAGAAAATATTGCCTATCAGTGCAAAATATCTAAGAAGCCATATAAAGGATACATATACAGTTAGGACTACAATATGAATCATAGATGCCTGGTACATGTCTCAGTGACATCACATGCATCATGATTATTATATAAGCATGCAGGTACCAAGAATACAAATAGATATTTCAATTTAGGAGAGAGTATTATTATGCCTGTTTGCTTAGAAAAACACAAAAATAGAAGACAGACAACAGAAGCCCTTTAAGCAAATTCCATAGGTCATTCTTGTCAAATTTTAGCCACACAAAGCAAGAATTTTCATAAACAAACTTGACAAAAGAAATCATAGTAATTTGACTAAGTTATCAATTATGCCTTTCCAGCAGATCTCAAAATGAGTATCACTTTCCATAAAGTATCAGATTCCCAGGTAGTCCCATTCAATTTTGCCCTCTAGTGGCAACACCAATTGCTGAATAACATCTGACTTGCAAAGCTAAATCAGCCACACAACGTATTTGAGTTGAGGGAGAAAAAAGAATGTCATGTCTCCTTTGTATGGCAGAGAGACAGCCATCCACTGATGTCAATCAAATGACTCCTCACACTCTTAACATATGCAATCCAGATGCATGCAGATGATTTATGAATGTACATGCAATGTATTTTGCTCCATATGAGCCAAAGCAGCTCTATCTTGCAGAAATTCATATTCAGTGCAGTATCTGACACCATGGATATATGGGAAGGGAGGGCTTCCCAGGAATGCTTATATGGTAAGTGCTTGGGATTAATAACAACTGAATAGGAAAGATAGAATTGATTCAAATTCATCTTATTTATTACAAGTTAAATTAGCAACAAGTTAAATAAAATCAAGAATTTCTAGTGTTAATTTTATATAAACCTTGGTTATATATGATAGTTATATTGTATTTGACAATTTTGCACCTTCAGCAATGACTAACTGCAAAAGGATTGCTTTGATAGCTATGACCCTGGAAATCTGGTTTGAGATGGGCATTTCTTACTTTTTTAATGAAAAACCTAGACAATTGCTACATTGCTTTTCCCTTCTGTCCCCTCCATGCTTTCTTCACAGTAACTCACTGGCCAGAGAAAATAATATTTAACACATTTTGAAAACAATTGAGCTATCAGAAAGGTTGAAAGAAAAAATCACAGAGTCAGATCTCTTAGGGCTTGAAAAGCTGTTATCAGGGAGTAAAGAATTGCAGAGTTACAAAACATGAGATTCACATTGATGATCAGAATGGTAATACTCTGGACCGGGGGTGTCAAACTGGCAGCCCGCAGGCCAGATGCGTCACATGCAGACCACGCACACCCCAGTTCCACAAAAGGAAAAAAATCACGAAACGTTATGTGACGGCAACGTGACGCTGCAAGTTTGACACCTGTGCTCTGGATTAAGAATCTAGAAAAAAAGAGCCATCAGAAACACCTGCCCAAAACCCTGGTCCAACAAGAAATCAACAAAGCTGTGTCTCTTCCATCAACTCCTCTCCCACTCCCCCACATCAAATACTATGAATATCTATCAAATAAAAATTATCAAGTCTTCTGCTGATCAACAGTCAAGGATTGAAAAGAGCAAATTTAGCTAATCCAGAAAATCCGGGGACATTCTCATTTGAGATAGCGCTTTAGGCCTTATTCTGAAAAGAAGCATTAATGTTTTGCTTTGTTAGAATTCTTGAAAACAAGATGAACAATTTGGGTATCATTTCCTCTCTCCTTTTTAGGACACCAAATAGTGATCAGCTGGCAAAAGAAGGGGTAAAACTTACTCAGCATATTAGTGCATCGTCTCTTTGTACTCCAAGCAGATCTGCTTTCCTGACTGGTAGATATCCCATCAGATCAGGTTGGTAGATTTTTGTGAAAATAGCAGACAAGAAGATTGTTTAGTTGTGGATATGCTATTCTGTTATTGAGAACTAAGAGTAGCCAGACCTTCATACTGCATATTAAATATATTTACTGTGTAACAAATAAGGGTATTTTTTGAAAAGAAAAAAAAAGATTACCCCATAGAAAGAACTACATGCCATTTAGCATTAGATAAAGGAAATGAAGACTTGGTCTTCATTTTTACACAAAGAATAAATGCTAACTTGCAACATGGCAATGGGCAACATATGACTACTGCTGTGTCCTATATTTTATTTGTATCTTAATTCTGTTACTTGTCAAGAAGCACAAGCTTATGGCAGCTCTTATTCATATACTATACTATACTTATTCATAAGCTTTTAAGAAGATATCGGACATTTACTGAAGTTGTACAGGTTTCCTGTTTGATCAGGGAGTTGGACTAGAAGACCTCCAAGGTCCCTGTACTATTCATGGTTCCTGTGTGAAAAGTCTGAACTCAAGGTAGTATATTAGTCCCAAAAAGCAGGCTGAGGTCTTACTAGGGACACACTGCTATGTCCTCTATGTTAATACAACGGGGAGAAGCAGATTAAGAGACCCATTTATATTGTATATATTAACTATAAAGCCATAATATAAAGGACTCAAAATTTGGGGATATGCAGCTTCCATTTCTGAAATACTTAGGAATTTACTTTCTACTTTGACTAAACCTTATTTCTCAATGCTATTAAATTTCTATAGAAAAAAAATAACACTAGGTTCAGAATCTTTTTGTGAATTCTCAAAATTTCATGAAAATAGTACAAAATTTCTCTCAAGAATTTTTTCTTTCCTCTTTCATTCAAACATCATATATTTTGAGTTTCGGCCACATTCTGTAGAAATTTTGCAGTGTTGTTTACAACTAGAAATGCCAAGCTACCTTCTCCTGCCAATTTTTACTGATAGCCAGCATGAAGGAAAGTAGGCATAGCTTGAGATTTAAAATGGATTGTAAGGTGAACTTTTTTGCCTCTGGTGAACACTACACAGTTCATATGGCAGTGATGTACAGTATCATTTCAATATGTATGTATACTGTTGTATACTATTTATACAGATTCTTCCCCTATTCAGAATTGATACTCGCTCTCTCTCAGGCTTAGTCTCCAATGTTTTGGTCTTCTGCCTTCTTGCCAGAGTCTCTTTGCCAACTGATCTTCCCACCCTGGTCCCAATCTTCACCATCTGATCGATTGCCAGGATTGATTCAACTCATCTGGCTGGCTAGACAGGTGTCCCCTTCTTCCCTTACCACTCCGTGTGCATCTTCTTGAAGCTGCACTCTCAGAGGAGGAGGACAACCAACCCAGGCAGAAGAAGCGTACAGAACTTCAGTCAAGAGCATATGATTATTGCATTCCCTTGCCAGACCCTTCAAATAAGCTCCATCTTCCTTTGCCACTCAACTCTATTAATTGTCTTCTATGGGAAAGCCTTTCTTTGTGGAACAAAGCTAAGTCCTACTGTCAGCTTTTGCTTATTAGCTGACTGTAACAAAGGGTTTGGGAGTCTTGTCTTCCTCACTGCATTTGTGATGAAATTACACAGTGGCATGGCCTCCTGTAGCCTGTCACATCACTGTTACTAACATTACACTCAGCAAAGATTTTCCTGGTTTACTTCCCAGTGAATAGAAATGTTGGAGAGTTTCTGAAGGCTAGAATGGATATTCAGTTTGATGGTCTTGGCTAAAGTTTGCAAAACAGTCTTCACAGGTTTGTCAAAGGCTTAAGAGTTTTGTTGTTGTTGTTGTTGTTTTTTAAATAAATCCTTCCTTCAACATGGATTGTATTTCCAATTCTGGGAAGGACAAAGAGGGCATTCATTTATTCTCCTGTTGATATTTTAGGCATGGCAGCTACAACTGAGAGGCGTGTCAAGGCTGGGCCTGGTACCACAGGAAGTGAATGTGAAACCACATTTGATATCTTATTACAACAGCAAGGCTACACTACTGGCATAATAGGTAATGTGAGTTTTTCTCTGTGTGTTCATGATAGATGTCAGGGTTCGGCCTCAATTCAGATTTTAATTCCTTTCCCCAAGTTTTCCAGATGAAAGAATAACATTTCAGGATGGAATAAGCTATATTTCTTTGGACCATTAAAAGCTTTTAATTTTCATATTTGAAAGTATAAAACCTATACTTCCTATTTCTATTCCAAACTTTAAAACAAAAAAGTATATATATATTTTAGGCTTATCAGGACATTTTTTTTTAAAATTTGATTTATATGCCACCCTTCTCCAGAGACTCAGGGCGGCTTACAATGCGTTAAGCAATAGCCTTCATACTTTTGTATATTTATACAAAGTCAGCTTATTGCCCCCACAAACTGGGTCCTCATTTAACTTACCTTAGAAAGGATGGAAGGCTGAGTCAACCTTGAGCCTGGTAAGATTCGAACCTGCAGAAATTGCAGGCAGCTGTGTTAATAACAGGGTGCATTAAACCACTGTACTACCAAGTACATACATTTTATTGACCCCAAAGCAAAATGCATAATAACACTAGTCACTTAATTTAGCCATAATGTTTTATAATCTCGTCTCTTCATTCCTAGCAGCAAGAGTACAACTGTAATAGAATACAAAACAGCTATTTCACAGGATCCAGATTGCTGCAAAAACAGCTCTTTTGCTGGCATGCTAGGTTGGTTCTGCATCTATATGTTCCAACAGTTTTCAAGAGTTGAAAAGTCAGGATTTATGGTTTCTATCTTTTAAATAATTCATTTCTAACCAAGCATAAAACTGGACATGTTCACTAGGGGATAAATCCCATGGAATTCAGTTAAGATTTCTACTTGGGTCTGAACTGACTTACACTAGGCTGGAGAGTATGGATCTCAATTAAGGTTGCTGGACTTGAGTTGCCAGCATCATTCAGAATTGGCTCTGTTAGCTGTAAATGACAGGAATGGTATTTCTACAAATCTTCTCACATTTCACTAAATTATTTTTTCCACTTTTGAGCATGTGTCCTTTCTGGTAAATGGTTATCAAATTGATTATTAATCCTTATACATAAATGTTGAATCTATTTTTGCTGAGCTGTTAACAATCACTTCTGGCATCATGGTTTGAACTGTAAATCCCGCAATGACCATTGCCACCATCCCTTAAACAATGGCTTTGATTATTTCTATGGTGATCCTTTCACTCTTGTGAACGATTGTCTGAGTTGGGAATATTCATAGCTTGAACCAGGAAATAATAATCCATATTATGTTCAAATAGTTGCCGTTTTGTTGTTAACTCTTCTGGTTGGAAAGATTATTGATTTGGTTTCTTTGAAATGGAAAATAGTTTTCATCATCATGTTGTGTGGCATTGTCTATATTACCTACACATTTGTGCATTATTTATTTCTGAAATCCTGGAACTGTCTGATGTTCAGAAATCATGAAATCGTTCAACAACTATTGAAACTAGAGGATGTGGCTTTTAGGATAGTGAGGGAAGCTGTCTCATTTATTGAAAGGTAACTAATATCCAACTTCAGTAGACTATATTGAACATATCCCATAATATTGAACATATGCTTGATTCCATCCATCCATTCATCCATCCATCCATCCATCCATTCGTTTGTTTGTACATTTATTCATTCATTCAATATATAAGTCTGCCTATCTCAAAAAAGTGTCACCCATTAATTCCACTTGGCTAAATGACTTTTTTTTTTTTGCTTTAATTTATATGCCGCCCTTCTCGGGAGACTCAGGGCGGCTTACAATGTGTTAAGCAATAGCCTTCATACATTTATACAAAGTCAGCTTATTGCCCCCACAATCTGGGTCCTCATTTTACCTACCTTTGAAAGGATGAAAGGCTGAGTCAACCTTGAGCCTGGTGAGATTTGAATTTGCAGTAATTGCAAGCAGCAGATGTTAATTACAGTGCTTTAGTCCACTGTACTACAGGCTCTTGTATATAGGCAGTCCTTGACTTACAACCATTTATTTAGCAACCATTCAAAGTTACAGGGTACTGAAAAAAGTGACTTATGACCAATTTTTACACTTATGACTGTTGTAGCATCCCCATGGTTATGGGATCAAAATTCAAACACTTGGCAATTGGCTCATATTTATGGTGGTTGCAGTGTCCCAGGGTCATGTGATAACCTTTTGTGACAAACAAAGTCAATAGGAAAGCAAGATTAATGTAACAATTGTGTAATTAACAACTGCAGTGATTCACTTAACAGCTGTGGCAAAGAAGGTCATAAAATGGGGGCAAAATTCACTTAACAACTGTCTTGCTTAGCAATGAAAATTTTGGCCTCAATTGCGGTCGTACATTGAGGACTACCTGTACCTTTAATGGAAATAGTGAGGTAATTTATTTTATCTTTGTTTTTTTCCAGAAACAAAAACTGCTGGCCTTGGAGTCTTCATTGGTTGAGGATGTTACTTGGAACCCTGACAAGGAAGAAGGCTTGGTCCTATTCAAAATGGCCACAAAATAAGAAAAGAAACATGCATAACGAATCAGATCTATATTTGAATTATAAAAGAATATCATATTGCAAAGATGATCAGAAATTTGGGCAAGTTTACATTCCAATAATATACATTAGAGGGCAAGACAAGAAGCAATGGATGGAAAATAATAAAGGATAGAACCAACCTAGAAATAAGGAGAAATTTCCTGACCTAACTGTCCAACAATTAGTCAATGGAACAATTTGTCTCCAAAGGTTGTGGGTGCTCCAACACTGGAGGTTTTTAAAAGAAACTGGATAACCATTTGTCTGAAATGATTGAGTTTCTTGCTTGACCAGTGGGCTGGACGAGAAGAGTCCAAGGTCCCTTCCAACTCTGTTAATATGGTTGCAATTAAACATCTTAATTGAATTAAAAAACAAAATTGTTTACTTGGTGGATGCTTTCATTGGTTTGTATGTGCAAAAAAATTTATATTCAGAAGGAGAAAGAACTAGTGGTGTCACTTCTCTTCCTTTTTCAGCTGTACCTGAGATCTAGGCTATATTATTAATGCATTATACATTTGAAAGGAGAAATGTAAGACTGTCATTTAAATTTAAGATTTAATGATGCATTTTCCTCCACTGCAGGTGGAAAGGGCATGGGAGGTTGGGAAGGAGGAATCCATGTGCCTGGAATAATTAGATGGCCAGGAAAGGTTGCTCCTAATACTGTTCTTGATGAACCCACAAGCCTGATGGATATTTACCCCACTGTGGCTCATTTGGCTGGGGCATCAGTGCCACAAAACAGGTATGCAGTTTTGTTCTAAAAGTGAATGAGAGATATTCAGTTTTAATTAAGGCAAATATACAAGGTTGCAAACTTTATTATTGTCATCAGATATTAGGTTAGTATAATCTATATGCACTTAAATCTATATTTTTCCCTTAATAATACATAGCATTGTTCTCAGAGATGATGTACCAGTGTGAGCAACATGTGTAATATTATATTTTTGTTCTGATCTTGTTGTCAAGATATCACTGATCAGGACTGAGATTAAATAAACTAATGGACTTAAATTTTATTTCTTCTACAAGGATAATTGATGGCAAGAACCAGATAGAATTATTGCTGGGAACTGTTCAGCATTCCGCTCATGAATTTATGTTTCATTACTGTGGGACATATTTGCATGCAGTGCGTTGGCATGACAAGGAGAGTAAGTATAAACCTCCCCCCCTTTTTTTAATCTATTATTTATTTATCGTCCAGTTGCTTCATATGATATGAATGGCCATATAAATTTGCTAATAAATAAATAAATAAGACTTCCATTAAAAATATAATCAAACAGAACAAACTCAGAAGTATCTTACTGCAACAATCAGACACCATCTAACAAACAATTAACTGTTTCTGACAACATGAACAGTATTTTTATAGTCAATACATTCTTGAAGTGAAAAAAATGGAATTCTATTGTTCTTTAGAAAGAAACAATTCAAAGTGTGATTTAAAATGGAAAAACTTTAGGAAAGCTGATTTTTTATTTTTATTTGTTTTTCTGTCTTTCTCTATTTCTCCCCCCACCCCACACCCTGGACAAAAGGTGGAAGTCTCTGGAAGATTCATTATGTGACTCCAAACTTTCAACCAAAGGGGGCTGATAGATGTTATGAAAAGATCATATGCCCATGTTCAGGAGACAATGTGACCCATTATAATCCTCCTTTGGTTTTTGACCTTTTAAGAGATCCTTCAGAATCCACTCCACTTTCCCCAACTTCTGAAATACGTTTTGACATCATTATAAGCCAAGCTGAAGAAACAGTGAGAGAACACCAGTTGACTGTCATTCATGTCCCTAATCAACTGGATGTTCCAAGTAATCAGTGGGGGAAAAAATCTGCAGCCATTTTGTGGAATTTTCCCTTTCTATTGCTGTGATAAAGAAACCGATTAATTCCTGATAGAACTGTCAAAGAAGCAATGTTGTCTATCTATTAAAACATTTTGGATATCTTGAAATCATGTTACCAGTGGTTATTGAGTGTCTTAAAAATTACTTTGGAGAAGAGAATGAATAAATAATATTTTATTTTTTAAAAACAGATTATATACTAAAAGTGAATTAATAATATTTAAATTTTAAATGGAAGCGGGATCAATGCTGGTTACTTTTAGCAGCAGCATTTAATTTGCCTACTGTGTTTCTGAAACATACTAAGATATTTAAAAAATCACATCTTGCAAAAAGTTAGGAAGCCTTGGAGAACAGAATTCCAGAGATGGGGTCATCAACAAAAAAACCAAGATTCTTACTCACTATCGCTTTAGGAACACCTGCACTGGAAGTGAGGCCAGCAGTTAAAGCCCTAGGCACTGTAGGCAGGCATGATGGGAGACATAAACTTCTCCAGAAGGTTTTTGGATGTTCACAATCTGGGACCACCTCTTCATCTTTGAAGTAATGTCTTAGTGTTTCTCACTGCCACAAACCATATCTTAGAGAACACCACACCTGTATTTCCTCCCAACCACCCAAATCCTGGAGTTATAGCTTCCTATACAATGTGTTGCTCTGTGGCAATTGCTAGGTAGAAGTAAAAATATCTAATTGTTAAAGTACTACCCCTTGGACCTAAGATGCTGAGCTTGTCGATCAAAAGGTAGGCAGTTCAACAGTTGTCTTTTTTTTAGAATTTTTTTTTATTTTCAAAAACACAAACAAAACAAAACATAAAAACATTATCATTCCATACAATTATAGACAGTGTATCAGTTGGTGGCATTTTTGTGCTTCTCTTCTCTTCAATTTATCACTAAACATGCTAGCTTATTTCCAAAACTTTCAACATCCATTTATATCATAATTATTTCCAATTTTTATTCTCTATCCATTGATAAAATAAATCCCATATCAGATAATATTGTCTATCTTCCTGCTCTCTTATTTCAAATGTCAATTTACTCATTTCAGCACATTCCCATCATTTTCTTAATAATTTCTTCATCATTAGGTAACTTTTCTCCTTTCCAATTTTTAGCAAATACAATTCTAGCTGCTGTCAAGAGATTCATAATTAAGTATTGCAGTTCTTTATTATATGTCTCCGGTATAATCCCTAATAAAAATATCTCTGGTTTAAAGTCAATATGTCTCTTTATTTTTTCCAACCACGTGTGTATCTTAGTGGCAGTTCAACAGTTTGAATCCCTAGTGCCACATAACGGGTTAAGCTCCCATTACTTGTCCCAGCTTCTGCCAACCTAGCAGTTCGAAAGCACATAAAAAATGCAAGTAGAAAAATAGGGACCACCTTTGGTGGGAACGTAACGGCATTCCATGTGGCTTTGGCATTTAGTCATGCCGGCCACATGACCACAGAAATGTCTTTGGACGGTGCTGGCTCTTCGGCTTTGAAATGGAGATGAGCACCGCCCCCTAGAGTCGGGAATGACATATGTGCGAGGGGAACCTTTACCTTTACCGTTATATATATATAAATATGTATATGTATATGTATATGTATATGTATATGTATATGTATATGCATATGCATATGCATATGTATATATATAAAAAATTTGAAGTTTGGAGGACCGGTAGTAAAAATACTAACTGGCCCCACCCCCATCTATTCTCTGCCTCCCAAGTCCCAGCTGATTGAGAGATTTTGCAATAACCTTCCCCTGGATTGAGGAGGGAATGGAGATTTTACAGTATCCTTCCCCTGGAGTGGGATGGGAATGGAGATTTTACAGTATCCTTCCCCTGCCACGCCCACCAAACCACACCCACAGAACCGGTAGTAAAAAAATTTGAAACCCATCACTATTATATATATATATGGAAACAGAAACAAGATCCAACCAAATACATTAAAGTAAATATAAGAATTCCAGCAGACCACAAGATGGCGCAGATTTGCTACCAAAACAGAAAATGGTTTTTAAGAGATCAGAGTCAAATACCTCTTACAGGACAGAGGAAATAGCAAGAACATTCAATAGTACAGTAAGTAAGCAAGCAAGCAAGTATCTACTCACAGGTGGTGGTTCTCAAATCTTCCTATATATAGGCACCACTAACTTAAAACACAGACACAGGAGAAAACCATCAAGACAGAAGTAATTCTATAACAGTTTTAATCAAGTACCTTTCCGTGAACAGAAAGTATACTGAAAATTATAGAAGTCATCACATACCTACACCCATACAATTTAAAATTACATCGCTAACCTCCCAATCTAGTGTGGTTCTTCAGCCTACTCTGGGTATGGCAGTCTTTACTGCCAACGGACAATCTGAAATTCATGTCAATCCTTTTAATGCAGGTATTACAAAGAAAATAAGGGGACCCTCATCCAAGCAAAATGTATGGCATATGGCTTTTAATTTATGGCATAGGTCAATACTACTATGAGAAATCTGGTGGTATTTTAGCGAGAGTTCGCTAAAATACTGTATTTTACTGGATATTGTTATGGGTTTATAAGATCCCAAAATATACTTGAGTCACTAGAATGCCAAAGAGAGAGACTCAAGATGAGGCTTGCAAAAAGAAGCAGATTTTATCTATGGCCAAAAACAAAATACTGGGTGGGACTATATCCAGAACATACAGATACAATGCATGTGAGGAGATAGCCACACCTTGGGGAAGGTATGGCATCCTTTTTATACCCTCAGAGGTATCAGCTTAATACCCAATTCTGGCCTCCTAGTTTCGGTTTGTGAATTCCTTGTTGCCCTCCAAAGGAATAGAAGCCTTCCAATTAGCATTATCTCTTCCTTGAGCATTCCTTTGTTCTCCCAATTGCTCATTTGGCCCTCTGTGCTGCAGGGAACAGATCAAAGGTGTAAGTTAGGGCTAAAGTGTAAATTATCTCCGGGATGATGTCTGCAGTTCCACCTGAGATAGGTACCATGCTCTTAGATGGCACCAGAAAAACAGGAATAAGATTGATATGGGTTCAGATCAAATGACAGGAACATATGTTTGACAAATATCAGATACATTACAGATGCCTAATAACAGAATATGTTTGTTACAGGAGATACAAATATAAAGGCATAATATATATGATACAAATACTAAGGCATATTTGTGTTACAGATATAAAGGTACAATATATGTGTGTTATACAAATACAAAGGCTATATATATATTACAGGAACCTAATGGTTACAGAATAACAAGTTTCTACTAATTCTAGTATACCAGTATATCGTATTACAGTATTATTTATTATATCCTTATTACTGTTTCCCTTCAGGTTAGTCAGTGAAAAGAGCCATGTCTACGCTTTTGCTTAAGAGTGAAGTTTTCTCTCGGTCTCTTAATTAACTCTAAACTTCCTACCTAGAGTTTAAATCCTTGGCAAATTTGCTCAGATTCTGAAGCGAGTGCTGGTTTTCTTCCGCGGAGGAGCGGGCTTTGAATATGGGGATTGCTGAGCCTCTGGTGGGGCTCTTATTTCTGTCTAAAAGGTGGGCTTTATTCCAAGCTTCCTCAGATCGTGACAGCTGGTGATTCTTTCTGTGTACACATCTCTTTTTACTCTTTTGTTTCAATAGGCAGCTTTTAACATAATAATCTCTTGCTGCAAAAGTTTACCCAATTGTTTCGTAACGTGCTGGATTAGCGACAGAAAAAAACATTCCCTGAATTCCTTTCGTCTCTCTTTCCTTCTTTCCCTCTTCTAATCTAAAAAAGCTCTCACTGGAAATTCACTAACACAAATCTCTTGTTTCCAACATTTTAAATAGTTGGGGTTTTTTTTTATTAATAAAAAGTTTTGTAACTCTTAGTTTAAAATGGCTGCTGATTCTACTTGAAAAAACAAACAAAAACAAGTATCTGGAAAGGATTAAATACGATTATTTTTCCCAGTCCCCTGCTTTTATTTGCAGCCCCGGTATATGTAGCAATAAAGAAGTTTTGAGCATTTCCCCCCCCACTCTCCCAAGTTCATCTACACGATTTTTTCCTAGTCAGGCTTTGGATAAAAAGACCTAAAGGAGAAATAAAATGAGGCGGAGAATGAAAGAAAGAAAACATCAAATGAGGGCCCAGATTGTTAGGAGCAATACCCTGACTGTAAACCACTTAGAGAGGGCTGTAAAGCACTATGAAGTGATATATAAATCTATGGACGATTGCTACTGCTATCAGTCTGACCAAATAAAGAAATATCAGGGAGACAAAATTAGTTAGATTGAACAAATATATGCACCTTGCTTGTTTAACAGAGGTTCATGTTACTAAAAGGCTATTGTAAAAGTGTTACAGTTTGATTAATTTGAATTTGATTAATTAATTTGTATAATTTGTATAATTTGATTCCAAATATGGACATCTTACTGTATATGCAAAATATTTCAAAGAGATATATGTTTTTTTTAACAAAATCTTATCTGCAAATGGGAGGATCCATATTTTTCATCTGTTATTGAATCTTGAAATTCTCTAGGATGTTTGTGTGTGGTCTACTTTACATCTTTTTACGAATATTATTTGCTTTCTTTAATTTTGATTTCAGAATCTACTTGATGACCCTGTTGGCTTTTCTTATATTGCTTCATATCTGTAGAATGGACGCAGCTCTTGATTCTAAGCCAAATATTATTCTGATGCTGGCTGATGATCTTGGAATTGGAGATATAGGCTGTTATGGTAACATTACTATCAAGTAAAGTATCCACAGATTACTTTTATATTGCTTTAAAGCTGGTTAAGCAGTTTGGCAATGTGCTTTATTGTAAGATGCCCGTGAGTACAGTGGCCATATACATTTCACAAATAAGTAAACACATGCATATAACTTTGGTGAATCTATCCAGATGTTTCATTTAACTTCATTTGATTTACTTAATCTACTGCATTAAGTCTTATTTATGTCTATCACTAAGCATTATGCTTAAATAGCTACATGTATGATTATTTAATCTGCTACATATTGCCTTGGTGTACCCCAGCTGTCACACTTTAAGTTTTGTTATGCATAGAGCCACAGAACCTACAGATTTCCCAAATTTCCCTATTTAAATATGTTTGATTTCAATTTCCATAATTGTAAATGAGAACATGGGAATTATGGAATCCAGAGAGCAGCAAGATAGGGAACATGGCTTCAACCTTCTCAACCTATGCATTTATTTCTAGTTTATATTTTGTTTTGCTGAAATTAATCCTTTTTCATAGTTTAGGATTTTTATGAATAATTTTCAGAAAATAATGTAAAGTAATTACTGTAAATTTCAGCCAATTTAAAGATTTCAAGTAGATGTCTATTTTTATACAATATGCTAGTTTATACACGTTAATCTCTGACTCATGGAGCCAGCCTGATTCTGAGATACTAAGCCATTATATGCTTATATATCACATGGAGTCAAAAACAATACTGTGGTTTAGCAAGACATGCAACCCAGTCTTTTAAATCTCCCTTGAAACATTGTCTTTAAGAAATGTAAGAAAAACATGAGTTTTTAATCTGTATTTTTAGTACAGAAATCAAACAAAACAGTTTCAGGCCCTTTTTATGTGCTCCTGCCAAAAAACTTCCTTGAATGGTGGGAGCTAAAAGCAATGTAAGGCAGAGTCATCAAAGTGGAAAATCATTTTTCCATTCTTTTTTTGCAGTTTTTCTCCTTCATTGTCCTTGATATGCTGATGTAATTTGCCTTAATTCCTTTAAAAAATAACATACTCTGAATCTTTCCAACCAACTGCCTTTCCCAGTACATTTTTCCACAGCCTTTAGAGCTGTGGATGGTGATTCAGCTGGATGCTGCCATGTGGAGAATTTTCCAATGGCAGCACACTTCTTCCGCCATAGACTTTGTACTCCACAAATATAGCACGCTAAATACATGCTATATCTTACAGACTCTTCCTTCCCAAAGGATATACATTCGATGCATAGATAGCAGAAGTATAGATATTTTGAGTAGCAATCAGTGAACACAACCACACATAGACACAACTTCCAACCTAGCAGACTCTTCAGCTAGAGCATCTCTATATGTTGTTGGAAGTACAAACATACCAGACAAATCACTTTGGCTATTGCTAAATTGTTTTACATTTTTCAGTTCTTTTTCTATGACTAGTTCCTTTTTATCTACCTACTTATATTAACTTTTTATATTTTTATTGTAGGACCCCTAACATTGACCAATTAGCTAAGGAAGGCGTGAAATTTACTCAGCATATTGCAGCAGCCTCAGTTTGTACCCCAAGTAGAGCGGCTTTTCTGACTGGCAGATACCCCATCAGATCAGGTAGAGGGTTTTTTTGATCATAGAGTTGGATGAATGAAATCACATAAACCACACGTGATATAAAGGATTTAAGGAATGGGACTACCATAACATAACAACAACAACCTAGCAAAACAACTTGGAAAGAGGAAACGTATTTGATGCCACCAAAACTAAGATAACAGAACTGTGGTGGCACAGTGGTTAGAATGCAGTATTGCAGGCTAATTCTGGTGACTGCCAGGGGTTCAATTCCGACCAGCTCAAACCTGATTTCAGCCTTCCAGCCTTCCAAGGTCAGCAAAATGAGGACTCAGATTATTGGGGCAATGTGATGATTCTATAAACTGTTCGAGAGGGCTGTAAGGTACTGTGAAGTGGTATATAAGTCTTAAGTGCTATTGCTATCAATATTGGGAACACCCACAAGGAAGAACATCCTGTAATGTTCATTAATGTCCTTGTAATATAGTACAGTTTTTGCATGTTTTAGTTCTGTGACATGTATTCCTTTGACCGTCTTTTACATGCTCCTTGGGGATGCTGATCTTCAATTCTCAATTATTGTTAAGGTCAAATGTACATTAGTTCAAGCAACAAACCACCACCAATTGCAAATGATAAGACAATCCATGGCCATTCATAGTCTAGGATACACAGTGCCATAGTCTACCACTATGCTACGTATTACATATGTATATTACATTTGCAATCATTGGCATTTTGTAGACATCTGTAGCTCATTAATGGAAAAAAACTAATATAAGGAATGGAAGCTTTACAAAATTAATATCTGCTTTTGTCACTAATCATTTTGATATCAGATGGGCAGTAAATGAATTTTTGCTTCTGTTTTACAGCAGTCAATATATTTTATTTTTCTGGATAGATCGGGGGAGGGGGGGAGGAATGTTGAGAGTGGAAATACAGGATCTTTCTCTCATTCTCAGATTCAGCTGACACTTGTCTTGCCCAAATAATTGGATTATGGTGGAAATATGATCGTAATGAATGGGTGCCAGCTAGCTTACACTTCTGATTATTATTTCTTCTTCTCATTTCTTGTAAAGACATTTAGAGACAGCCTGACGAAAGTTATGAAGGACTTAAGGAAGGACTTGAACAAGTGATTACACAGTCCAGAGATCAAAGCCAAACATGAGACAGAAACTCAAAATAATCTGAGCTTTCCCTTGTTTAGTATAAAATAAGATCAGAATGAAACTTGGACAGCCTTTCAAGATTCCTATACTGGGGTTTGGATTTAAATATGTCCCTTTTAACTGTGGTGTTAGAAATCAGGCTTTTATCTTCTTGAAGTACTTTTATCTAGCCTTACTTCCAAGAACATCTCCATCAGTGTTCACCAGAAGCAAGCAGGATTATAATTCCCCAACTTCTAAACTAGCCTGGGCATTAGCTTGGGGCTGGTCATTTTGGTTCAGAACTTTGGGAGTCATTATCCTAATTAAACTGAAAGATTCCAGCACAGAGAAGATTGGTCTATTGATTTTGTAGTCTGAGTTTTGTGTTCGATCTGGACACTTGTAATAATTTGCAAATGTTGCAGAATGTGTTTTCCCCATACAAACTATGACACATCACAGATATAAAGCAAAAACCAATGCAAATATTGTACTTATCCATTTGTCTGATAAATCTGATACAAATTTACTGTTTTACTGTTTTGCTTTAATACCTTCCTGAAGTCAATAAAGTGTCATGAAAACATTAAATATTTCCCTTTTATTTTGAAGGGCAAATCATCTCTCATGTTTTCCCATCTTGGTGTACTTTGAGCTGGTGCTTATTACTTAGTATAATATATGCAAAGGTCCTGAGTAAACAGGGAGTTACATGACTACATTCACTCAATCAATTTGTAGAATTGGATATATTTCCAATTAGGAAATGACAATACCGTTTGTTACAGATTACAGGTAAAATAAACTTGTCTTTGCAGGCATGGCTTCAAGAAATACCTATCGAGCTTTGCAGTGGAATGCTGGCTCAGGAGGACTTCCGGTCAATGAGACAACTTTTGCCAAGATGCTACAACAGCAAGGCTATGCCACAGGCCTTATAGGTTTGTAAAAAGTTATTATAAAGCCTCTATATGAGTGTTTCTCGATCAGTCGATCTCATCAGTGCTGGCTGAGGAATTCTGTAAGTTGAAGTCCACACGTTTTAAAGTTGATGAGAATGAGGAACAGTGAGAAACAAATCTATATTGAAGATTTGGGTTAAATTAATAAAATTAATTAATTTTAAAATAAATAAAATAAAATAAATAAAATAAAATAAATAAAATAAAATAAATACTAAACCTTAGAAGCAGAATTTGTGCATCAAATGAACCATTACTATATCAGGAAGTGTAAATATTTCTTCACCTTTTTTTTTTTGGTCATTCTCACCTACAAAATAGAGACATCTTAGATCAAATATATTGGGTCTGGTCCAATAGCATTCTTTTTTCGGATAATAGAAATTTTTCTGAATTCTCTTTACTCTGGATGTTCTGACACCTAATTCTAGATGTATTTTGAAATGATATAACAGCATGAGGAAGCATTGTTTTATTTGTTTCTTAGGCCTAAAAATATAAAGACATAAATGCAAAGTGAGCTCTGGCTGTTGTACTAACTGCTTCTAGATCACGGATGTCAAACTCGATTGTGACACATGACGTCACATGACATATCATGACATTTTTTGTCTTTACGGAGCCGGGGTAGGCATGGCCTATGCGTGATGCATCCGGCCCACTGACCCCCAGTTTGACCCCTGTTCTAGATATAGTTGCTGCTGTTCATTAAGAGTTCTATTTCCCTATTGTCAGTATGTATGTTATGAGGTTTGAGAATTAATAATACCCACACGAGATTGGCAAATGTTTTATTGTGATACTTTCAAATAGGATTGCTGTATTGTTACAGGATTTACTAATCTAATTGATTAGATTAGATTAATTAATCTAATAATTTTATATTGCTAGTTCATGTATGATATGCCATATGTTAAATAATAACAAGATTTGGGGAAAATAATGATTTTCTTTTGGGCAATACCTTGCCTCTTGGAAGTGCTATTGTGTTGATTTTTTATTTGTAAACTGGTACAGTGATTAGACGACAATATTTTTCCTCATCAGCAAGCATTTTAATTAAAGTAGAATGAGATGATATCAGCTAAAATTACTGATATGGGTTATAATAACCAAATCTTTCAAGTCTCATTGTGCTGTACCTCAACCATCTGCTTATCCTCTAATGAATTAAGGAGGTTGACTGCCTGGGTCATTTCCAAATATTATCTCATTTCTCAAGTTGTTGGTTTGTTTGTTTTTTTGCTGGTTTGTTTTTTGCCTAGCTAACGATTCTTGAATATTTATGTCAAGGCCAACCTTCTTGCTCGCTATAAATAATAAGATGTACATAGCCATATTTAAATAAGAACATAGAAAAAACTGCTAGATAAAATTAATGGCCCTTCTGCTTCCCATCAAGGTCAACAAGACATTGCTGGGTAAACCACAAGATAGATAAAAGCTTAATAGCTTCCCAACCCTCTTAATTATCTATGTTAGGACAAGGCAAAATATACATAGTTTCCTCAGCCTGCACCAGAGTAATACATTAACAACTGGTGATAAGCCTAGAGGCAAGACAGTGTCAAGTTTCACATGTATGGCTATGAGCATTGTGAGCATTAACATGGATAAATTCTACAATTTACTCACTCATGTAGGCATGGTCATGATTCAACAAAAAGAGAGGGAAAAAAGAGACAGGGACACCAAGAGGTAGTTTCTTATACATTTCAAAAAAGTTCTTATTAGATGTTAAAAATAGATGTGTATGGATGGTATACCGTCCATACCATATACAATCCAAATAAATTGATTAATGCACAAATCTGCAAGGATAATTTATGTATTTTCTTCTGGTGGCATAGTAATATGAGATATTTTGTAAGAAACTTCACTGAATGCTAACATAATTCTGGGAAATTAAAAAAAAGCTGCCTGGTAATTGATTTATGTTTGGAACTAAACCTAAAATCATCAGATTTAGCATTACCTAAATATAATATTTATCATAGAACTCCTTGAAATATATAATATCTTCTCAAGTCTTATCTGTTTTGACCTTATATTCTTTAATCTCCATAAAAAAGAGTGTATCCTTTAGAAGTGGACACTGCAAGAATTCACTCTCAGTTGTATCATGGAACAAGATCATCAAGTTTCCCCTGATAATTTCCAATACAAATATACTTTCTTTGTAGGAAGGTAACATAGTAGGTTTAAATTATTGTTAAAGAATAGTAGAGAAACAATGTAGTGAGACCATTCTTCAAGAGCAGTTTCTGTCTTTTTAAATTTAGATTTAAATGGAGATGGGGAATATTTTTTGGAGTACTGTATTTACTGAGTACTGAGATTATCCCAAAGAATAATTCAGACTAAGTAATACTTTCCCTTTTGATTTTCAGGGAAATGGCATCAAGGTGTAAACTGTGATACTATCAATGATTATTGCCACCATCCTTTGAATCATGGCTTTGATTATTTTTATGGCATGCCCTTCACACTTTTCAACAATTGTCAGGATAACAAACCTCCACAACTGGATAGAGCCTTTCAAGCTAAACTATGGTTCTATACTCAAGTCATTACTTTTGCAGTACTCACATTTCTTATTGGAAAAATTACTGGGTTGGTGTCCATTCCTTGGAAAGTGGTCATCTTCCTTGCTTTGTTTAATTTCCTGTTTTTTGCTTCATGGTACTCCTGCTATGGCTTTGTGAAATACTGGAACTGTATCTTGATGCGCAACTATAACATCACTGAACAACCTATGAAACTGGGAAGAACAACTTTTATTTTACTAAATGAAGCACTTTCTTTTATTCAAAGGTAATAAATAGATCTATCTAAATATCAAATGCCAAAAGTACAGGTAGTTCTCTACTTACCATGGTTCATTTAATGATAGTTCAAAGTTACAACAGAATTGAAAAAAGTGACTTAATGAGTGTTTTTCACACAACCGTTGCAGCATCCCCATCATCATGTGATCAAAATTCAGATGCTTGGCAGCTAGTTCTTATGATGGTTGCAATGTCCTGGGATCATGTGATCCCCTTTTGTGGCCTTCTGACAAGAGAATTTGATGGGGATGCCAGATTCACTTAACAATCATGTTACTAACTTAGCAATTGCAGTGATTCATTTAACAACGGTGGCAGGAAAGGTTGTAAAATGGGGCAAAACTCACTTAACTATGTCACTTAGCAACATAAATTTTGGGCGCAATTGTTGTAAGTCAAGGACTACCTGTATTGAAATTTGCTAAATGGAACCTAAATATGATCCTTTTATTTGTTTTAGCAAGAAACACAAGCCCTTTCTCCTGTTTGTTTCATTTCTGCATGTCCATACACCTCTGTTTACAACTGAAAAATTTGTGGGAAAGAGCAAACATGGAATGTATGGAGACTATGTAGAAGAATTGGACTGGTTAGTAGGTGAGTTGCTTCTGTTATAGAAGCATTCTATAATTCTCTACCATTCTCAAGAAGGATTAAAATATGGTTAATCTATGATTATATAATTGTCTACTCTTCATTTCCTGTTTTGAACAGCAATATTGTCTAGAATTCTTAATTATTTCTAACCAGTTAGAAGAAAACAGAAACAATTTGAAGTGTTTGGGAATTGGGAATGTTATTTTATATATTTGATTTTTAAGATGTAGTTGTGTGTGTTATGATGTCCTATCTCAATCCTTCAGTGTGTTACTTTTCTAATGAAATAGGGAGTTGTCTTAGGGTTGTAGGCAGGATAGAAAGTTTCCTTAATGGTACCACATACAAGACTTAGACTTAGACTAGAATAACTTTATTGTCATTTGAATGTACACTGATTGGCATACATTAAAATGAAATTTTGTTGCATACAGCTCTCAAAGGGTCACCACCTCCAATATACAGTACATAAACATGACAAAATAAATAAATAAATGCAAAATTATGCATATATCCACATATGTGACACAGAGAAACAACAGTTTAGTTTGGATGTATACATATACATGGTGGGAAAAACGAAGGAGAATGCTGCTATTGCGATACAGACTGGCTCATCTGTTCTGCTGTGCACATCTAATGAATAACCAACCAACACACATACTCTGTGTATATTGTATGTAGCCTGAATTTAGTCTAAGAGACATCTTCGAAATATATAGCCAAAATTTCTGCAATGTTTTACTGAGGTTAAATGAACTGTGAACTTCCTCAAGCTGGATCTCCATTTGCATCTAAGCAGGGCACAAACTTGACAGGCTAAATTAAGGAGCAATTGCTCCTGTAATTTTATTAAAGTATTGGCCCACCCACATCTTCATTATAACACTATCCAACACAACCTTGAGGGGTATAAAATTTTATTAGGCTTTGTCACTCATGACCTTAGAGAAGAGTTGAGTGATTAGGAACACTTTCAAAGTGGACTGTCAGACTTCATGCAAACCTAGCAATGTATCTCCAACTAGGAACTCAGTAGCTCTCTGCAGATTATATTCCAGCTGGTGGGGCCCAGGAAGAGAGTCTTCTCTGGCGTTGTCCCTGCCCTTTGGAATATTCTCCCTCATACACAGAGATCAGGCGAGCCCCCACTCTCCTGGCCTTCCAGAAAGATTTGAAAACATGATTTTGCTGTTTTATTTGGGGTTTACAGAGGAGCACAAAGCCCCAGGGCCCCTGAATGACCCCTCACTTTAATTAACTTTTAACATATATGCATTTTTAAAATTTTATATATACAGCATTTCATTCCTAGACTTTTTATACCCATATTTTAGAATCAATAGATTTCTGACTGTTAGATTCCCATTCTTGAAGATTGACATCTGTTTGCCATCTTGAAGGCTTACTAGCATGGTTGTGTTGTCAGAAGGCAGTTTCACACAGGGGAGAATTTTCTGATTGCAGGATAATTTCTCTTTGCACTGACTATCACCTGTGTTGTATCAAAGTGATCTAAGGGTCCTGTTGTTCAGGAGCAGCATTTGATAGATCTTGTTAGCTTCAGAAAAAGGAAAGGGTTTCATGAATTCACAAATAAGGTTTGGGATCTAAGTTAGGGATGGCAAATTCACAGGATTGTTTTGAGGAAACAATGTCTTTGTAAAGGGAAGTATGGTGAGCACCATGAATAATTAAAATATTACTTTTGTTATTCTTTGAATTCATCTTTATAATTCTGTATAAGGTGGATCTTTCTCTCTCTCCCTCCCCCCCACCCCTCCACATGCAGGTCAGATTCTTAATGCTATTGACAAGGAAGGCTTGCGAAATAGCACCTTTGTCTATTTTGCTTCAGACCATGGAGGCCACTTAGAAGATCAAGATGGAACAATACAGGTTGGGGGTTGGAACGGCATCTATAAAGGTGAATAAGGCAGTAAGATTGTCTGTCTGCCTAACTAGAATTTTGGAGGTTATTCTTCTTCTGCCTATATTCCAGGATCAGTACATAAGCATACCCAGTGATGTTGAAGTGCACATTTATTTTTTCATTGATAGCCTCTGTAGATTGATATCTCAAGAAATAAATGGTAGGGTGAATTATATATGTGAACAATACCTGCTGACTTGCAGCACAATAGATATTATAAGCATGAATGTTTAAAATATAGGAATAAAAAGTGATTCAGATTATAACTAAAAGGGATGAAGCTGAGCTTTCCAAATTATTTTATTCAAAATTATTAAAATAGAAAATAAAAAAGTTAAAAAATATTTATTCTTTTGTATTTTCTATTTTAATCTTGTTGACTAAAGTAAAAAATTTGAAAGTATACTAATTTGTTTCCATTGATTTTCAGACGCTTCAGTTCATGAGAGCTGTGAATGTTTAAGTTGCCATATTAATCATTTACAAAAGTTTCAATTTCATTCTTTCAATCTGTGGCTATTAGTAATCTTTGTAAGTTTGAAGAAATTTGGACAGGCTGATTCTTTTCAAGCAATTGTTCCAACGCTTTATCTTCAAAATGAGAATCAAACGTTAGTCTCTGTAAATATATATAATATAACATTATAAGCCAGTTTAGCATACCTGTCTGTTTCTGCTAATATCTGCAATTATCTTGTGTCCATAACACAGGGGGCAAAGGCATGGGAGGCTGGGAAGGAGGTATCCGTGTTCCGGGCATAGTTCGATGGCCAGGAATGTTGCCGGCAAATATTGTTCTTGATGAACCAACAAGCCTCATGGATATTTTTCCCACAGTGATTCATTTGGCTGGAAAAGATGTGCCCCAAGACAGGTATAGAACCTGAATTCTTACTGTACCTATATTTAAATTATTCATAAGTGATTCAACAGAGATCCAATAGTTTCTCTATTAAAATATACAACAGTATCTTGTTTCTTCTATCCTTTTTTTGAAATCAGTATGTATTAATCAGCAGTTCCCAGATATAATTCCTAAAGTACTCCTTTAAAGAAATTGCTCTTTGCAATTTATTGAAATTGCTTAACATAATCTCCAGTATATCTAATACATCATCTAGGATTATGAGTATTACATGGACTGTGATTGTATATGTGCTGAAAGCATTTTCTGCAGTTTCTTTATAATACTGGTGATGCTGTAAAGCTGTTTGGGTTTTTTTTGTTTGTTTGTTTGTTTTTTTGTATCCATATCATTTTGTCATCTTTGGAAATGTTTAATTCTTTATATATTTTAATTAATCTTTTGTTTCCTTGCTGAACACTGAAACACAGTTTTGTCTACTGCATAATACATTTAAAGCAATATTTCTCAACCTTAGGAACTTTAAAATATGTTGACTTCAATTCCCAGAAATCTCTAACCAGAAAGCTGTCTGGAGAATTCTGGAAGTTGAATTCCATGTATTTTGAAGTTGCCAAGATTTAGAAACACTAATTTATAGTATTGTTTAAGTGGCAAACAGTATGAAAATTATACTTTTCTCTAAAAATTCTTTGCATTTTTAGAAATATTCTATTCAGTTTATTTTTTAAAATATTGTTTTTTAATATATTTTTTAAAAATATAAGATATATATGGTCCACCCAGCAAATATGTATATTAACAACATGCAGAAAAAAATATCTTTCAGCATGTTATTAACATAGATTTGGTTGTATCAGCCTGAATATAGGATCTAATTTACTTACTTTTAGTTGACTACTATTTCCTGTATCACTGTAGAATAATTGATGGAAGAAATCTTCTACCTTTATTGCAACAAAAAATCAAACACTCGGAACATGAATTCCTGTTTCATTACTGTGGAAGTTATTTACATGCAGTGCGGTGGCATCAAAAAGACAGTGAGTTAAAAGAGTTCTCCTGCATTTGAAAATATCCCTTCAAAATTACATACACACATATCACCAGTGAATTATTTATTTAGTCACTAATGCAGCAATAACCATAAAAGACCATAAGTATCTACAATTACTTTATTAAATTTGGGAAGAGGGTGGGGTGAATGCAATCAGAATTGTGGGTAAAATAAGAACACTGGGAAATAGGAGGGAACAAATACACTGGTAATTATTTATCCTGTAAAGTAATACCTAAGGCTAATGCGTAAATAACGTAATACTACTTTGTACATGGTTTTGTACATGATCAAAACCAATGTGAAATAATTATTTTGTAGATAGGTTCAGACTTCTTTGACTATAATTTGCTGAAGAAGCCATCGTTTATACATGACAGTGACAGTCTTCATACAAGAGACAAACCATGTTGAGGCTTAATACAAAATATAAATCACATTTGTATCCTGGTTAAAGAGCTTTTGCATTGGGTATACACAGTATGAGCAGGGATGAACATTTTTTGGTGCTGCCAAGAATTTTTTGTTTGATTTCCAAAATGAAAATAAATCTATATATTATTCATATCCCATCTTTGTAAATATTTTGATATTGTTTGTTTTATGTTTTGTTTCTACCAGGTGGTGCTTTATGGAAGGCTCATTATGTGACACCAATATTTTCCACTGAAGATGCAGGTGGTTGTTATGGAAAAGGACTCTGTCCATGTTCTGGAGAAGGTGTCATCCATCACGTTCCTCCTTTGCTCTTTGATCTCTCAAGAGATCCATCAGAAGCCATGCCTTTATCAGAGACCACTGAACCACTCTTTCAGGAAATTCTTAAGAAAATAGATGAAGCTGTGGACAAGCATCGCAGAACTCTTACTCCTGTCCCACAACAGCTCTCTTACTACAACATCATTTGGAAACCATGGCTCCAGCCATGCTGTGGGACATTTCCATTCTGTTGGTGTGACAAGGAAGATGCTAACATCCATTCAAATTAATATAAACTACACAAAAATTATATTAAATGAAAATTAACTTTAAAACTGAGAAATTCAATTAACATTATGAACGTCTTCAATTTGATAATTTTTTTTCAATTAAGATTGCTTGTTTGTGGCTTCCGGTTTGGCTTCCGTCGCTGCCAGACGGTCTTTTGGGACCGCCAGCCTCGTCGCCCGTAAGAGCCGTCTCTACAGCTGAGAGATGGCTCGAAAAACTCCGTCTCCTTGAGGAGACGTGAGCGAGAGCCGGCGAGAACAGCTAGAGCCCTCTGCGAACTCCCCAGAGTTTTTTTTTACTCTTGGGGAGGAAGCAGAATGTGGCTCCCTATCCAGCTCGCTGCTGCTCCGGGCTTCAGGGGAACTCTGCGTTTCGCAGAGCCAGGCGATGGGACCAACCCAATCAACGAAAACTAACAGATTGTCTGAACAAACAGGATGAAACCCGGATCTGGGACTCTAAATTGCAAGTATTTCTAACAACCCTATGAGTAATTTTAAAAGCGAAGCAAGAAAGTTTAAAATGGCGACTGGCTGAGGCTTGAGAAGAAAGCTGAAAGCGAAAGTCCTTCCATTTGAATAGTTTAATACATTACAAAGTATCTGAAACAATAGCGCTGGCTAGAACTGAAGAGAAAAATTCCTATTTCATGCTTCTTCCTTCTTAGAGACTTGATATTGATATTGTTTGGAGAGAAGTCTTTTTCTTTAAAAAGAGTTTGTTTGTGTGGCACGATGGCGTTAAAACTGACAAAGCCAGACAACCAAGCTGGGGGGGAGCTCCCCCATTTACAAATCACATGAACAAGTTTTGAGCTTGCAGATGCGGAAGAATGGCTTTAAAGACCTAAAGGAATTTGTTTTGGAGGAGATGGCAAGACATGATGAGATTGTGAACCAGAATCTTGAAAAATTCAGACAGGAAATTAAAGAGTTGGTACAACAAAAGTATGATAACCTGAAACGATATATTGTAACAGCTTTGAAAAGCTTTTCAGAAATAATTATAAAGATGGATAAAGATATCAACTTAGAAATAGAGTCTAAAATGAAGGAAGCTGATTATAAGATTCATAATCTGGATAATAAAATACAAAGAATTGAAAATGATTTGATAAATATTCAAGAAAATAGCTCAGAAGTAAAGTCTAAAATAAAGGAAGCTGATCACAAGACTTACAATGCAGATAATATAAAACAAAGGATTGAAAATGAAGTCACAATGATGCAATACAGATCCATGGAATTTGCGGTCAGAATGAGGGGAATACAGGAAAATAACAGAGATGACTTGAGAAAGATGTCTGCTGAAGTTCTGGCTGTGATTTTAAAGGTTAGTCCTGAAGAGGTATCCTGTAAGATTGATAAGGCCTACAGAGTAAATTCTTGGGTGGCAAAGCAAAGGCAGTTGCCTAGAGATGTGGTGATTTACTTTACTGATAAAGGAATAAGAAATGATATTGTGCAAAAGTCTTTTAACTCCACTCTAGAAATGAATGGAAGGAAGATTTGGATATATAAAGAGCTGCCGTCCAAGATGTTAAAAGATAGAAAGGACTTTGGATTTTTGGTGACTGAGCTAAAGAAACAAAACATCCCATTTAGGTGGGATGCTCCAGTTGGTATAATATTGAGATATCAAGGAGAAAGATATCAACTAAATACTGTTGAAAAAGCGGAAGAATTTTACTACAAGGTTTTTAAAATGGATCCAACATCTCCACGTATGCCATCAGTGTTAGGAACACAGGAGGGGGATAAAGAAAAGCAAAATGAACAAGAGATTGAAACTCAGGCTAAGCAGATGGAGATGGAGGTAATGGAAAAACAACAAGTTACAGAGGCCCTTTTGGACGAGCCGCTTTTGGATTCTCCTTCAGAGGCTATAGCTGGATCACCTATAAATATAAGAGAGGCAGCTTTGGATTTCGATTTGATGTCTTATCAAGTTACAGACCAGCATGGAATTCAATCAGCTGATATACAAGTCCTAGAAAGGCAACCAGGATGGAGATCTAAACCACAACAAGTTAAGAAAAGAAGAAGCAGGTTCTACAAAACTAAAAAAATTTAAACTAAAAAAAAAATTCTTTTTCTTTTTTTTTAGCCAACAGACTAATGCCAGTTAAGAGACGATTAAATATAATAAGCAGGATTTATAGAAGGCTGATACATGAAAATATAACTGAGGCAAATTACTGACTTATACTATTTTGAGAAGAATAACAGATCTCTGCAGTGCTGGTGCTTTTGGGATGTGGAAGATGGCCTCTGATTGAGCGGATTGGAACTTTCTATTTTGGACTCTTTGAAAAATGGATTACGTATATGTTGAGTTATAAGGCAAGAGAACTACGGGATTGGGGCATGCAGAAGATCTGGTTGTTACCCTAACGTGGTGGTTGGAATTAATAATCTAGATAAAAGACAGTACAGAAGATACTACATGGAATATAAATATAAAGTCACTCAGGTGGTTTTTTATATACGAAAACACTTATTATTGATGGGGGCAGATGGTAATTGAAGATACTGAATATACTGTTGGAAGCAGAACTTGATGTTACCCTAACATGGGTGATGGAATTAATAATCCAGTTGAAAGACATTACAGAAGATACTATAAGGATTATAAATTTAAAGTCATTTGAGGATTTTATTTATATATGGAAATATCTTTTAGTGGTGTGGTGTGGGCAGAAGAACAAAGATATTAAAAATATTATGTATGGTAGACCTGTAGGAGAATGGGTGGAGATAGGTTAGGTTACTGATTGTTTAGTTTAGGAAAAGGGATGTTATGTTCAGATATTAATATACGTAAAAGATTTGAATTAAGAGATATATGTATGGGGGTGGAGGAAATGGGTAGATTATGAGTTGAATAAATGCCAAATTAGGATTTATTATATAATTTTATAGCTGAAGGTTGCTTTGAAATGTATAGTATAGGGGGGATATAATAATAATGTTAGAAAGAAATGGTTAGCATATAGGGGTGGTGTAAAAGGATGGTAAAGTATTATATAATCTGATATCAATTTGGATTTTATTTTGGAGAAGCCATGGGGGGAGGGGAGGGGGAGGGGGGTTAGGGTGGAGGGGGGAAAAAAGGGGGAAAAATCTGTATTTGAAAAACGTTTTCAATAAAAAAAAAAAAGATTGCTTGTTTGTCATGCATTTATTCCATAGAACCTTTCTATCTTTTGGAGATAACAGTTTTTTAAAAAAGTATTGAGACAGTACTGGGGGTATCATCACAATTTCCAATCATATATATTTTACCAAATGGTCTTAGCAAAGCTTTTTGCTAAAACCAAAAGGCATATAATTCACCCTAATGACAGGCAAAAGAATTTGTACCCAGAAGACCTAAATTTATCCTGTACTTATTCACTTAAAGCACTCAATCTTTTTTTCCAACACAACATTCTTTTCATAGAAATACACACTAGTGAATGAAAACATAACTTTGAAATGCATATTCCATAAAATATACTGTACACAAACACCCAAACACATTAAAGATAAACCTTCAATATATTCCCTTGAATAAGTTGATATACCCACCAACTTCAACATGAATTTTGTTTTACAAGCCCCTATTGTCTTCTCTTCTGCAACCATGTGAAACTCAGAGGCATTCATAAACTTGGTTAGAAATCTTTTTTCTCTCAAGACATCCTAATTTCTGGGAGAGGGAGGAAAAAAGGAAGGAAACATTTTTTAAAATGTAAGATGTTTCACAAGGCAACAGTGGAAGTGTGCACCAAATCCAATAGTTGCAAACTATATGCATTTAGTGCCTCTGTGCAACGTGAAAGAGGACACAGCCAGAACATTTTAGGTCTTAATCTGGTAATCTTTCTCTTCTTTCTGACCAGACTTTATATTAAGATAGCAAAACTGATGAGCAGACAGTAAGCATATTCTCGTAGGAAGACTTTTATCTTTTATAAAAGAGGCTATCTAGCTTGTCACTTAATAATTGGCAATTACTCTTTTGTAATCTGTGCAAATAAGCGGTAATAGTAAGGCCAAAAAGAAAGTGAAAACATTTGTCTTTCAGGGTTTGTTACTAAATTAAAAGCCAAACTTAAGGAATGTAAGAGCAAACAAAGGAGTCAGAAACTATTGCCTTGCAGCTATCTGGTCAAGGGCATGTTACACAGTATAGACTGGAGGTTCAAATATTACACTTCTGAATTTAAAAAGGGAAATAATGATGAGAATGCTTTTCTAATAGAAGAGATTATTTGTAGCTCAGGATTGGACTGTGAAATATGGAGTGCTGTCTTAGTTGTTTGCAGATGTTTCACTCCCCAACATCATCGGTGCAAGTTTTCTGTTGTAATTTGTCCTATACTTATTCTCTTAAAAATCAGGAAGAATCATAATGCTTTATGATATGCCAAATTTTCAAAATAAAGCTTTCCCTCCCAAACATTGGTAAAAATGGGTGTTGGTGAGAAGTATATCCCATATATGCAAGCAGAAAATGCACCATATTGTAAATATCAGCAAAGCAAGCTGAATGGTAAAATGCAGAAAATAGCAAAACACAATAGTTGCTTGGTTCAAAAGGGGATGTGAGAAGCAGGGAGAAGAAGGAAATGGAAAGTTAAAGAGTTTCAATTACCAAGTATTATTTACATATTCTTCAAACTTTCATTCTTAAAAAAGTAAACTGTTATCACCAACTGATAGTTGTGCCATAAACTGGTAAAATGTTCATAATGTTTTTTTTTCATCAGTTCTTATCTACAATTTAATTGAATGCATATCACTTAGAATGGGATTCAAATAATATTAATATATTAATATCAATTTGCATGGTTATAATTTTAAAGTAGTATTTTACTTTAAAGTATTTTAAAGTAAAGTAATTGCCATTTTTATCCACCTGTGCAGTATTAATAAATAAAATTTTGCTTTATGATTTTTAAATAGTACCAAGTACATTAAATAAAGTAATTAAAAAAACGTTTTCATGCTACTTTCTTCAGTTAC